TTCCTGCTTTGGAACAGCAGCGGTAGTGGGAGAAAAGCTGCTTTTGTACCAAGGCCAAGAAATCAAAAACCATCAGCTACGACTTTTTTTTCCCAGAACTACGGAAACGGTCTTTTAGGAGTTTATGCTGTTTCCTAGAAACTCCACCCCCTGTATTTAACCTCTGTAACTTAAACCACAAGAAGTAGGGCAGCTTTGCAGCTCTCCCATTAAGCCGTTACATCCCCACACCCCCTGCGGATAAGCAGCCACCAGCCCCACCGCAGCGTGTAGCCGCTCACTCTGCTGCGGGATGAGCCAGCTCCCACTGCGAACAAACACGGAGCTGCCCTGATCCCTGAGCCAGGCAGCAGAACAAGGGAGAACTTTGCTTCTACACATTTGCCTTTACTCTTTGGCGCTGCTCTGCACTGACCGGGCTGCCTGGAGGGAGCTGAAAAGACCCGACACCGGGAAAGCAGAGGTGTAAAGGAGACGAGCGCTCGGCTGCAGCAACCGCACGTGCAGGTACTGGGGGCTGTCAGCAATACAACTTCTCCCCCCCCACTCTCTCCCAGTCTGTTTAAGCAGACGCAAACGCATTACGGTGCCGGTAACAAAGGCAGGTTACCGCCTTGAGCAAAGCAAAGCCTGTTTCAACACCAGCACTGATATCTTGACCTGGCTACTGTGAAAAGCACCCAATGCCCGTCCTGCTGCGTCCTCTTCCTGTGGCAATCCAGACTGCTCATCCCTTATCTGCGGGCATCCTGCCAGTACCAGCAAGAACTGACTTACATCCAAGTCCTACCTTGAAGCAGGATTAGTTGAACACAGCTGGAGATTAGTGCCTGGCAATCCTTTCAAGTACTCAATGTTACGTCTACCAGACGGAAAGCAAGTGCAACGGAAACCTTCTAAGGGTCACGAGAGAAGGAGCAGCTACTGTACGAAAGTGGAAGAATTCCAGCAAAGTCCTCATAAAGCAGATGGCAAATAAAAAGCACTAGGAGTCAAATTTTGGACTGAACAAAACATGAGAAGAGAGACAAACATGTTAACTTTTATTGTTTATGTACAAATGACAGAAGTTTGTATTAAAAAGAGAACCCACCCAACCTCAAAGATAGCAAAGAGCAAGATGGCTTTGAGCTCCAGCCTTCCCTGCATCTAAAAGCACTGCCTAAATTTATGGGGATGGTGTCTAAAATCAAAATTAGAGAAAAGGGTCAACCACCTTCTTCTCTGCTTGGGTAAGAATCAAAATGAGCTGTTCCACAAAAATGAAGAACCTTCCACTCTACATGGATTAAAACAAAGAAACCAAAATTCGATTTGTTAACTATACACTTTGGTTTAAAAAAAAACAAACCACAACAAAACCAACAAAAAGAAAACAAAAACAAAACTACAAAGCTAAGTATCAGCAACAGAAGTAATCTAAGTCTTACAACATGGATGGGACATACTGAGTCACACCCCGGTTCCAGTGGAAAAAGAAATACCGCTCCGTGGGTTTGCAGACGACAGAGGTGGCAGCAGCAAGATCAGCCAATTTTAGGAAGTTCCTGACTGAGGTGGAAGCACAGAATAGTCAGGAATTCAGGACTACTACTACTACTACTACACCTTAGTCTTCCTGCAACTCAGGTGATTTAAAAATGATGCAAAGTACATGGTCCAAGATTTTCTCCCCCCATCTAAGTTCTTTAGAGTGAGCCACTCCCGTCTGCAGATGCTTGGCCAGAGAGCTGCCATCGTGCTCATTCAGTCGACTGGCAATTTTCTCAGTGCGGATTCACGTAGACCTAAATCCCAGAAGCATCAGCACTGATGAGTCTAGTAGTCCTGCAGAGAAAGGAAAGGACAGGCACATTAAGACCTTTCTACCTTCAATTCTGCTTCCAGAGCTGGGATTCTCAGTCTTCTCTCATTTCTACAGACCATTAGTTGCAGGCAAAACAGAAAAGAGGTATTTTCCTTGCAGCTAAACATTCAAAAGAAAGGACCCTTCAAAGTCTTAGTTGAAGAACGCATCAACTCAAACCAGATGCTTTTAAAGTTCCAGATCATGACAAGATAACAGGACGCAAAAGAGCTTTTTTCATAGAAAGTGCATAGGACTGAACTGTGACCTAGCTCCATATCAAGCCTACCTGGGCTTATTTACTGCCAAATCCACAAGACAATGCTTATTTCATACCATGATATTCCTCAGCCATGAAAACAAGATCTTAAATTACAGCAGGGGAGGCTTTTTAAGATGAGGAGTCAGTCAGCCACTCAAGTCTACAGACGAGCAATGAAAACAATGACAGAGCACTGATACTTACGGCTCTTGGCTTTTTGTTTAACTTGAGATCAATCCTGTGGTTGGAAAGATAAGAGAAACGTCCATTTCAATACATTAAACCAAGACTAGAGTTCAAAGAACCAGCTACTGCATATGGCACAGGCTACAACAAAGACTATTTGGTTAATTCAATCCACATTCTCAATTCGGCTGAGCCAAATCACTGTCCCAGTATTACTGGACAAGAGAGCAGCAAAGAGACGGAGAGTGGATTCTTTATTATTTGCCAAAATGCATATTTTGTCCACTCAAAAAAAAGGAGTTAATAAAGGTTCATAATAACAATCACAGGGAAGTTATGCAGCATAAAGAAATAAGGTTAAATACGCATGCTCTATGTTAATTTGTTAGATGTGTAACTATGCCACAGGTAATTATTCAGACATAGTGGTGATGGTTATTTCCTTGGAATAGAGATAGGAGTTTAAGATGACAGGGATTATTTGAGCCAAAGGTACTGAGTTTATTACATTTTTTCCAGAAGGAAATATCCAAGTCTACACTAATCTCCTTAAGAAGCAAAGCCAGAAGAATCAGTTTTTAAACTAAGTTTTTAAGTTAAAAAGTTTATCTATTTAAAAATGAAATAGAAAGGTAAAGAAGAGTGAAGTTAATATAATTTTGCTGAAGTTATTAAATAAAATGTTACCTCCATCACGCTTTTCTGTTTTTAAAAAAAACTTCCCAGCCTAACCTAATATACATACCTACAATTAAACAGATAAACTATGGGTTAGAAAGGTCTCAAAAGGCACATTGGTGTCTACACACTAACAACACAGCACAAGTACTAATTCAAGTCAAACTTACTCAAAGTCATAATCAAACATGCCAGACGGGCTGAGGGGCAGCATTTGAAAGGAAGAAAGCAATAGAAATTAATATACTAATGAATTAAATAAATTAGTTGATTAGCCACCCTAGCGAGATTACTAAAAAATAAAATAAAATTAAAAAATAATAAAGCCAGTGTTCAAATGCCATAAAGTTCTTAAGATATCTTAACCAGAACTGGGCACAAAAAGCACTCCAGATCTGGCAATCCAGAGTCCCCCTCCCCAACTGGATTTCTGGGAAAACAAGGTGTTATTGCAGAGCAGAATGGTTTTACGGAGGGAATTTCAGGTGCTGAGGAAGGAAGCTATCAGATACGTGAGAGTGCACACTAGCTCGCAGGCGGAGGGGAAAACTGATGCGCTTGCCAAACCAGAGGAGCGGGTGGTCAGAAAGCAGTGGCTTTGTCTAGATCATTACGGCAAAGCAAAGCTTGTTCAGGCAGAGGTGGAGAGGACACAGAACTAAGTGGCCGACGTTGCACTCGGTATTCCCACAACGCACACACTCGTCCTCTCGCACTCGCTCCCTTTAGCGTTCTAAAAAGAGAACGTGGTCAATTGGCCCAAGCTAACTACGGTTTGGTGACATTCCCCATCACCCCCCCCCCATCTCCGCACTCACACCAGCGCTCTCCAGAAACAGCTCTGCCCCAAAGCTAACAACTGTGTGTTGGAAAGGACTTAGCATCACATCGGCTGTAACTTAGTAGCTTTTCACAAAATTTCTAAGAGGAAACAGTATTGTTTTCTCCTGAAATACTTTTTAGCCATGAAAATTGCTGAGCACACAGAAAATAATCAGCTTGGCCTTCCGGGTGGTCTCTGAGGGAACAGAGGATAGCTTCAATAAAGACACTGTAACTTCCATCTGATTCCCTGCTTTTAACTGCTCCAAGTTAAACTGCCTAGTCACACCAGTTCTGCCCAGTCCGAGTCCAGCTTTCCACCCTGCTCGCGGTGCCAAAGCAGAAAATCCAGCGGAGTCAGTGCACCTCCAGGTGCCTGTTCCCAAAACCTCACTCTCCAGGAACGGCTGAGCAGGACTCAAACGTGTGCTGGCGACTAGAAGAGCTTCTGAACAAAAAGAAACGCCAATATTTCTTCTTCTTGGACTTTTTTTTTTTTTTTTTCCCCAGTTCCATGACACTGAAGCAACACGCACAGGTCCCTTCCTAAAGAGCGCTCTGGGCTGCCAGCCATTTTAAAGCACTTCACTGTACTTTGAGTAGACTGGGACCGTTTGCTTGTTTGCTTTTTTTTCCACCTAGATATACTTGAAAATTGTTTGGTCTTTTCTGCCAAAATTCAGGGGATAGTCAGTAACGGCATTCACAATTTTAACAGGGTTTCTATTACAGACGAACCTACTTATCTTCTTTTAATTATCTATCTGGCCATGTTAAGCATTACAAAATAGTCAATTACTAACTGCAAAAGCCTTTCCACAATGCAGACGTGCCTGACGTATCTCTTAGGATGATAAGAATTGCCATACCAGATCAGACCGGGGCTCCTCATGTCCAACATTCTGTCCCTGGCAGTAGCCAGCATCGGCTGCTTCAGCGGAAGGAATGTAGAAGAAACCCCAAAGCAACGCAACCTGTCAGTAGGGCAGTTTCTTCCTAACTCCTGTCGCTAAAGGTCAGGTTATGTAACGGAGCAAAAGAATTTATATTATTTACATCATTTGTATCACACCCCACTGCGTCTGCAGCGGATGGGTTTGCTGTCCGTGTCTTCTTAGGAGTACATTTCATCATTTGTTTGAAATAGCGATTTTCTTAAGCTGTACTTCAGTTTTACAGATTGTTTCTCTGAACTTGTTTACAGATGTAATTTCTTGTGTTACTCCTGAGCTTCTTTCCAATCGTCTACAGGCAAAAAAAGAGTCTTGAACTGCTTTGGCTTCCCAGCTCATGAGGAACCAAAGGGACATCCAGTACTTCAGGATGTTTGCCCAATTAAGACTGCTGCATGAAGACAATTCTGCTCTAAGAATTAAAGACATGCTAATGACTCAAAACCTAATGAAGGAGAAAAAGCAGTTAAAACGTTTCTCAAGCTCTATACCTACCTCCATATCTCCCAAACCAATCTTCCCCCAGCAATCTTTGTAAATTTTTGCCACTTTTCTTTAAAACATTTCTCTCTTGTAATTGCATGGGAAAGTCCTTTAACAAGGAAAGCCCATCCACACACAAAGCCAACAAGCTCAAAGTTAGCAGGAACACTTGATTTTTAAAAGCTCCTTTACTTCCAGTAATCTTTAAGCACGGGTTCCAGCAATCACTTTCAGAGAGGCGCAGTTCTGCAGTAAACGTCTCCTCTTTCCAAGAGCATGGATTTCCACGTTTTTTCCCGTTAGTGCCTGACTCCAGAGTGCACTGTCATACTCTGTAGAAATCCCTGGGCTAGCTCTGCTGGGCGGCACCAAGACCCAGTTAAGGAGCAGGTTGTGCTGGCCATGGAGAGCAGCACCCTAAGGCAGGGAGTTTTATTTCGGAGCCACCAGCCCGCCACGCTGCATCACGCCTCAGCGGCAAACCTTAAGGGGCAGAACTAGTCATCTGAATTCAACCACAAAGAGTTCAGGAAATCTTTGTTTCACATGAGTTCCAGGTCAGTTTAATAACAAACACTTTTGAGGTTTATGTGACAAACCAACTCTTCTATGCCATAATCAAAAGAGACTCAGTTTGGGACATGTCAGCTGAAAGGGCTTGAAGTGGAAATCTCAGTGAAGATACTGGCAGTGTCCAACCCCCAAAACATTCCAATTTGCTTTTTCAACCTCCTTCTCCAAAGAAAGTGCTGACATTCCTATCTTTCTTGGTTCTGCAGAAACCAAGAAGCAAGCACAGGAGGCCAGGACTTCAGTCCTCCTCTACTGGAAGACAGCTCTATCGTCCTGGACAGACAGGAGAATTGAAAGAGCCTGGTGAAAAGCACGGCTGTACCCAAGCTGGAGTTAGTACCCCGCGCTGCTTGTTTAACTTCTCCAGCATGCTTTCCCCTCCTTGCTACAATGGGGTCCTGATGAATGCCACAGGATGCATACAACCAAAAACCAGAAAAATTACCAAAACAAATGACCTGAGCTGCTTGTTATTCGAACAAGTTACTAGTTCCTTTCACGTAATAAAGCAAATTCAACAACAGCTAACCATTCAGAAGGCATGACAAGAAGGCTGCTGGTACCACTAACCTGTGTCGATTTTTGTTCTTCCGTTTTTTGTGGCTGCTGTGGTGGCTCCCAGAAGAAGTAGAGGAAGCAGCTTTCTGGGGTTTCACCCCCTGCACAGACCCATCCAGCTCTTCAGCATCCTCCTGGCTGGGCTCATTCTCCTGATTGTGAAAGTCTGGAGAAGTGTCACTTTCTGTGCCGCTGCCCGGCTCCCCTAGAGCATGCAAAGACAGGCACAAGCGTTACCTCCCCGCAGCGGGTGACCTCCCCGCAGCTCATATCCCAGGCTGCCCCAGCACTGCCCCGCATGGGAGAAACAACCCCCAGCAACCGCACGTGGGGAAGCAGAGACACGCTGGGCCTTAGAGCACCAGGAAGTAAAGGAAAGAACCTGAGAAATATTTCTGAAGGACAGCAAGCTATCTCCTCAGCAACCAAAGCACATTAGAATTGCATCTGATTTGGTATTCATTACAAAAACATTTTTAAAAATCCTGAACGGACGTGGCTCCTCCCCACATCACTTGCAACAGGCTGACACGCAAACAGAAACATGTTGCTTCAGCTCTTCTAGCCTCTTTCTCCAAAGAGCACCAAATCCATTTAAGTAAGTTTTATGCACAATAAACCCTTGCTGAGCATAAAAGTTTACTGAAGAAAGGAAGCTCAACTTCACTTCTGTTTCTCACAGTGCCACTTTGCTGACTTGAGTAGCCAGAAG